GGACATATGTAACACTTTCACAATAAAAATTAATGTATCTTTTTAGCAAAAATTTCCTATCACATGATTACATTTCTACCACACCATAGCATTTCATTCCTCTTTGAAAGAATCAATTTCTCATTAATATACTGTAGAATAGTAGAGGAAAAACAGTGGCTTAATAGCACTAACAATTTAAAATAACAAACCCATGCCTGTCTCTACAATGTTATCTTATATGGAAAAACAAGTCACACCCACGCCCCTGAACTTTGCTAAAACAAGAAGATTGGGACTTTGTTTCAACAGAACAGTGCTCCAAGCTGTAGAAGTAGGAAAGGATTAGTGGTAAACATTGCTTAGCTTTGCTCAACACCAGAAGCAGAAGAAAAAACGAAAACTTGCCTTCTTCTGCATTCAAACTTTCAAACGTTTCTAAATGTAAATGTTACCAAAAGAATGAGGCAGAGGAACAGACTACTAAACAGATTTCAATTTCACAAGCCCCAAAGAAGCCTGCTGGAAGAGAAACCTCATGGACACAGTACATATTTCTAATGCTGAAGCTGAAAAATAATGTGAACCTTATTCTTAACTTTAAAACAAAACCAAACTGCCACTTCAATGTCCCTCAGCATACTGTATTCTAAACTGACCCACACATCTGAAGGAAAAAAAAAACAAAACAAAAAACAAGAGAAAGATACACTAGAAAATGAAACTACTTACCTTGGTCAGTGGCCATGATTTCACATAGATTGATAATTAGCCTACTCTGGTTTGATAAGAAAATATCTGGCTTCACTGTTTTAAAGTTCATGTGATAGAATCTCACTCCTGGCTTTAAAGCCTGTTGTAGACTGGAGATCACACACATCAGCCAGGAGCTCTGACCGGAGCACTTTAACTTCAAGGCATTCTTAGACCTCGCGGCTCAGAGACAACCTCATGCATAATATGCCACACCTCCCCAGAGGAAGGGCCGGGCGCAGTGTTTTTCACGAGACCAAGTAGATGAGGATGGAGAGACTGCTATTTATTACAGTAAAATAAACAACAACGGAGGCACATGGAAGTCTCAAACACACTACAAATACATTTGGGAATAGGATGGTTAAGAAACTAATTCCTTAACCATTAGTAATGGCCTAAAAAAGCTGACATGAACACAGTTTGTTTCCACTGTAACTGGGTACAGAAGTTACAGATTCAGGATTCACAGGCTTACGATGTTACAATGTCATTTTGTGTGACCTCAAATGTTATTTTACCACTTAGGACTTTCCATTTTAGCCCAGCTCGTGGATCTCGATGAATCCATAGTGCAGAGTGAATAAATAATTCTCATGAAACTTCCTAAGGAAACCAAGTTCCATATGTAATTTCAGAACACTGTTTTACTGGTAAAATATTTATTATTTCTTTTTGTATATCTTATAAGCTTATATCATTTCATCAGTACTTCAGGTCACTTGGATGGCATTGGAACATGCATGGCCTGTTCCCAGCTCCCCCAGAATTTGTATTTCTCACAAGCTCCCAGGGGTCACTGACACTGCTAGTCTGGGACTGTATTTCAGGGACCACACAAGGAGAACCACTGGCGCAGACACTTGCTTGTTTAAAGGGCAAACAACTCACTCCCCTGATGGCCGAAAGCTCTGGTTCAATTGCACCTGCTTAGGAATTGCTTAAAGTCAGGGCAGGGGACAAGGCTTAGGATAAGGTATGAGGGAGGATTATGTGCATATTCAAATGGGACGCACAGTTACTTCTACCTACTCATCAGGAAATGGGTTACCAACTTGACAAGTATGTGTGTGTTTTTAATTTTATTTTTCAGTTACAGTATACATCCAGTATTATTTTATATTTGTTTCAGGTGTACAGTCATAGTGGTTAGACAATCATATACTTTACAAAGTGATCCCCCTGATATTTCCAGTGCCCACCGGGCACCATACATAGTTATTACAACACTAGAGGCCCAGTGCACAAAAATTTGTGCACTTGGGGGAGGGGGGGGTCCCCCAGCCCGGCCTGTGCCCTCTCGCAGTCTGGGACCCCTCGGGAGATAACGACCTGCCGGCTTAGGCCTGCTCCCGGGTGGCAGAGGGCAGGCCCAATCCCTAGGTGCAGCCCCTGGTCAGGCTCAGAGCAGAGCCGATGGGGGAGTTGGGGCGCCGCCCTGTCATGCACAGAGCAGGGCGGATCGGGAGGTTGCGATGCCACCCTCACTCACGCTCAGGGTAGGGCCGATTGGGGGGTTGGGGCACTGCCCCCTGTAACACTCAAGGCAGGGTCGATGGGGAGGTTGTGGTGCCACCCCTTGTCATGCACAGAGCAGGGCTGATCAGGGGGTACCTGATTGCCCCTAACTGCTGGCCTGCCTACCTGATCACCCCTAACCACTCTGCCTGCATGCCTGATCGCCCCTAACCACTTGCTTGGGGGCAGGGCCAGCTCGGTGAGGGGCCATGGTGGTTCAGGTCTCTGGTCGTTCTCGTTGTTTCGCTTATGGTGGCTGGCCTTTTATTAGATAGGATTCCCTATGCTGTGCTTTACATCCCCGTGACTATTTTCTAACCACCAATTTGTCGTTCTCAATCCCGTTACCTTTTTCACCCAGCCCACCAACCCCTCTCCCCTCTGACAAGCATCAGCTTGTTCTATGAGTCTTTTTGTATTTTGTTTGCTCGTTTATTTTGTTCTTTAGAGTCCACATATAAGTTCAAATCATATGGTATTTGTCTTTCTCTGACTTATTTTACTTAGCATAATACCCTCTAAGTCCATCTATGCTGTAGCAAATGGTAAGATTTCATTATTATGGCTGAGTAATAGTCCATTGCATATATGTACCATGAGTTTTTATCCACTTTCGGAGCAAGCAAGCCTCCCTGCTCGCTTCAGTGCATGGCTGCCAGCCGCCATCTTGGCTGACAGTTAATTTGCATAAGGATATGCTGATTAGCCAATGGGAAGGGTAGCGGTCGTATGCTAATTACCATGTTTCTCTTTTATTAGTGTAGATTATTGACTCTACTAGAGGCCCGGTGCATGAAAATTCGTGCACTGGGGGTGGGGGGTGTCCCTCAGCCCGGCTAGCACCCTCATAATCCAGGACCCCTTGGGTAGGGTCCCTAGGCCTGGCCTGAGATCAGGGCCAATCGGGGCTTTCCTTCCCCCAGCTGCGGGCAGCTGGCTCCATCCCTGCCACTGCCACTGCTTGCCATCTGTGCAGTGCTGCCCCCCACCCCCCGCCCCTGCTCCTGCCACTGGTGGCCTCCCTCTATAGGCAACAGGCTGGGGTGTGATGGCTTGGCTGGCCTGGACCTCCCTCTGCGGGGCGATCGCTGGCCAGCCGCACACCTGACACAGAGTTGCCAACGGTGGCCTGGGCCTCCCTCTTTCTCTGCTTGGGGGCAGGGCCAGCAGGTGCAGTCTGCCTACCTGATTGCCCCTAACTGCTGGCCTGCTTACCTGATCGCCCCTAACCACTTGCCTGCCTACCTGATTGCCCCTAACTGCTGGTCTGCCTACCTGATCACCCCTAACCACTCTGCCTGCATGCCTGATCGCCCCTAACCACTTGCTTGGGGGCAGGGCCAGCTCGGTGAGGGGCCATGGTGGTTCAGGTCTCTGGTCGTTCTCGTTGTTTCGCTTATGGTGGCTGGCCTTTTATTAGATAGGATTCCCTATGCTGTGCTTTACATCCCCATGACTATTTTCTAACCACCAATTTGTCGTTCTCAATCCCGTTACCTTTTTCACCCAGCCCACCAACCCCTCTCCCCTCTGACAAGCATCAGCTTGTTCTATGAGTCTTTTTGTATTTTGTTTGCTCGTTTATTTTGTTCTTTAGAGTCCACATATAAGTTCAAATCATATGGTATTTGTCTTTCTCTGACTTATTTTACTTAGCATAATACCGTCTAAGTCCATCTATGCTGTAGCAAATGGTAAGATTTCATTATTATGGCTGAGTAATAGTCCATTGCATATATGTACCATGAGTTTTTATCCACTTTCCTATTCATGGGCACTTGGGTTGCTTCCATATCTTGGCTACTGTAAATAACACTGTTTTGAACATAGGGTTGCATATATGTTTTCGAATTAGTGTTTCGGATTTCTTTGGATACATATCCAGAAGTGAAATTGCTGGTTCATTATCAACTTCATAATTCTTAATAGATTTGTTTGCATATTAGGTACGAATAGATTTTTAAACTAATCTAAAAAGAATAAACATTGACAAAAGGAGTCACGGAAAGAGAAGAAATCTGAATTGCCTTTTATTTCCTTCACAAACTCTACCCGTGTGTTTAAACTGCGCCGTGGCAGGAAAGCTGCTTGCATGTGATTCCAAGACCACTTAGCCTTGGCAAATTTCAGTAATGTAAAAAACAGAATGCTTTCCTGTCATAAAAATGCCCCAACTTCTGTACTTCCTGAGTGTGATAGCAATGTTTAAGTTACAATATCAGGTTTGGTTTTCAAACAAATACCATTTCTTTTTTGGGCGCCAATGTTTACTTTGTGCCAGGTGCTACGTTAAGCACTTTCCACATGGCATTTCATTAAATCCTCACTATAAGGCAATAATAACTCATTGTTATTTTACAAAAGAGATTCACTCTTCTGTAAACAGAATAATATAGGTAAGATAAGAAATAATAATTTATTAGCATTTTGCAAATGAGAAAACTAGGTTTAAGAGGATAAAAATCTTGGCCAAGGACACTAGTTAAAATAACCTTTAAGAAATCTAAAAACAAAACAAAACAAAAAACAAGAGAAAGATACACTAGAAAATGAAACTACTTACCTTGGTCAGTGGCCATGATTTCACATAGATTGATAATTAGCCTACTCTGGTTTGATAAGAAAATATCTGGCTTCACTGTTTTAAAGTTCATGTGACAGAATCTCACTCCTGGCTTTAAAGCCTGTGGTAGACTGGAGATCACACACATCAGCCAGGAGCTCTGACCGGAGCGCTTTAACTTCAAGGCATTCTTAGACCTCGCGGCTCAGAGACAACCTCATGCATAATATGCCACACCTCCCCAGAGGAAGGGCCGGCGCAGTGTTTTTCATGAGACCAAGTAGATGAGGATGGAGAGACTGCTATTTATTACAGTAAAATAAACAACAACGGAGGCACATGGAAGTCTCAAACACACTACAAATACATTTGGGAATAGGATGGTTAAGAAACTAATTCCTTAACCATTAGTAATGGCCTAAAAAAGCTGACATGAACACAGTTTGTTTCCACTGTAACTGGGTACAGAAGTTACAGATTCAGGATTCACAGGCTTACGATGTTACAATGTCATTTTGTGTGACCTCAAATGTTATTTTACCACTTAGGACTTTCCATTTTAGCCCAGCTCGTGGATCCTGATGAATCCATAGTGCAGAGTGAATAAATAATTCTCATGAAACTTCCTAAGGAAACCAAGTTCCATATGTAATTTCAGAACACTGTTTTACTGGTAAAATATTTATTATTTCTTTTTGTATATCTTATAAGCTTATATCATTTCATCAGTACTTCAGGTCACTTGGATGGCATTGGAACATGCATGGCCTGTTCCCAGCTCCCCCAGAATTTGTATTTCTCACAAGCTCCCAGGGGTCACTGACACTGCTAGTCTGGGACTGTATTTCAGGGACCACACAAGGAGAACCACTGGCGCAGACACTTGCTTGTTTAAAGGGCGAACAACTCACTCCCCCGATGGCCGAAAGCTCTGGTTCAATTGCACCTGCTTAGGAATTGCTTAAAGTCAGGGCAGGGGACAAGGCTTAGGATAAGGTATGAGGGAGGATTATGTGCATATTCAAATGGGACGCACAGTTACTTCTACCTACTCA